CACCAATAAAATGTCTTGCGACTCACTGCAGCATAGTTTGAAATTGTCTTTGAATCAATAGAGTCACTTCCAGTTAATGCTAGACATGTAGGAGAGTGGCAGCCAAGTGGTTAGGGCATAGAGCTTGGGATCCTGAGGTTCTGAGTTCAAAACCCACTACCACAGCCACTCTGGTTCTCTGAGCAAAGACCCTTAACCCCTGATTGCTCCCCAGGCGCCCAGCGATGGCAGCCCACTGCTCCCCAAGGGGATGGGTTAATTGCAGAGGTACATTTCTCCAATGTATGATCAAAAAAGTTCAATTATTAATTATTAATTATTATTGTTAGTGGGTGAAAGCAGTCATAACCTAGGTATATCTTTATCTGGCCATGATGAGAGGAAAAACAAACCAATGGTTAAGGCCATACTGGAGAGAATTAGTGACCAAAAAGGACATTTGATGTCTTGATCAAATGTTTTTAACCAGTGGTGAGCACATAAGAAAAAGCAATGGCAAAAGGCAGCATTTACATTAATCTAACCCATGGTTTTTCCTGCATGTCTAGATTTCTAGGCAAAGATCGAATGCCCACAATAAGGCCGCTGCCTTCTACTGCTCCCTGCAGCTACATTATGATGCCACAGGGAAAGCAGTACGCATCAGCTTTAAAGAAAATAGAAAAAGACTGTTTGACTCTTTTCTGATAGGACTTTTTAGAGTTTTCAGAAGTAAAAATGTGCTTTTTTTTTTTTATTGCACGTCATACGTTTTTGTTTTTTTCTTCTCTGCTTGTATGTAGATATTTGAGACATTCTCAGATATTCTTCATATAATCTTGTTTTCTAATCCATCCACTTTGATTACAGAAACAAGGATTTAGTTTATATTACAGCTGTTCCATAGGATTAACTTGATGAGATGATTTTTAGAGCATAACTCATTCGTAATCTTTAAAAGCAGGGCTTAAACCGTTAAGTGAGACATTTATTTAATCAAATCAATCACTTATTTAAAATGAATGAATCAATCTGATCTTCTCAGATTTGTAAACGTGTTGCTTTTCCCTGCCCTAGGATGGCTGATCCAATGAGCCTTAAAAATGGTTAAAATGATCCATTAAAGGAAGGCGGAGCTGGGTTAAAGAAGCATAATGAGAGGAATGAAGTGTTCAGCTTGTGTGTGCGTGCTTTCAGGGGCATCCTATGGACGCAGATAGAGGCTCTGGGTCCATAGAAGGGGGAGCAAAGGGGTTAAGAGCGGTGTCACGCCTGCAGGGATGCTGCGCCACCGTCCTAATGATGTCCACCGGCCTAATTGAATATTGACGTTCTGCGTACGAGGGCTAAATAGCTTCTGTCTGCTTTGCCTCCGCTGCTCGCCACGGCTGCAGCTTTTTAACCCGTTTGCTCTGTTCCTTCTGGGAGGGATCGTTAATGCTTCTGTTACCAAAGTTACATGGTTTTTTTGTCCATTTGATGCAGCGAATCCTTTTTTTATGTGCAGTTGTTGCCGTTTTAATTAAAGAAGTCATTTTGTTGCACTAAATGGACAACTCCTTTAATGACGCCCTCTCTTCTTCCATTTCTTTATCCGCTGATCACCGTCGTCTCCTTCCATCCTGTTTCTCCAGCGTTGAATCGGATCATTCCGTGCTGCTTTCCAACAGATGGCAAGTGTCAAGGCAAGAACATGAACCTAGAGTTGCCTGATCCTAGCAGTACAGTGTAATAAAAGCTGTGTCACTGCGACACAGGAAACAATCTCCCCTTTATGTGACCGGGATGTCATCAATCTAGGCGGAGGTTAACAAATGCACTCGCATGGAAGGTATATTTCATGGGCAGGCGGCTGACAATGGGGCCATTGTGGCGTTGAGCCGTCGCGCCCTGCTCTGCATTCAGTCAGGACCTTCTGCCTGGCCTTGGATCTGCAGCCCATGTCGGCGGTAGAAAGAGGGGAGGTTATGTTTTCTCTCCCAGTTTAATGTGTTTATGTGGGAAAAAATCTGCGAAACATGCAGAAAAAAAAATCAAGAATAAGCAGCTGTAAGAAAGAGTGATGCAGTGTTTTTTTTGGGGGGGAATGGTGTAGAAGAGATAGTGGTGGAAAAAAAGGCTTTTCTGCCATCTTTCAAAGTTTAGCTTCATTGCTTTTAGTCAAAACTAGAGCCAGATGAACACCCTGCTGATGCTTCCTGCACGGAGCCTGCCGATCAGGCCAGGTCTGCTCTGGTTCGCTTTTGTCTGAGCATTTTCATCTGAAAAGAAGCGAGCCTTCTCAGTAATCCATTAGGCTTCCATTAGCTCCGATTTGTGTGATTAGTTCTAATTAATCAGTTCACTCCATGGCCTTCACCCCCCCGCGCGCTGCTCGCATTTCATTTTTAACCTCATTTCTCAGCTCTCCACTGAGCAGGAGAACGAGTCAACGACCGAGCGAGCGAATGTAAGCCCAGACATTTAACTCTGGGATCAGGCAGGCGCGGCGTTACGACGCTCACTGAATTAACCTGAGCGTTTCTGTTATATCTGGTGATGCGTCAGGCTGCTGTGGTGCTCTAAAAGTGAACAAAGGGGATTGTGATTTCGTGTTTTACACATCTCGCTGCTGTGGATCCTGCTGGAACAGTTGGTATTGATTGGAGCAGGAGCATCCATCCTTCACTGTAACACAACCTATTGATGTGTGTGGAGCCCTGATTTCCCTTCGCTCAGACACCATCCGCAGCTGCTACCAAGTCCCCGCAGATCTGCTTCTCTCTGCTGGACACTTCAAATTAAAATGAATTTTTTTTTTTGCTTCGTTTGAAGTTGCAGGTCTGATTATATACTGAGGCATTATGTGATGATAATCTATCTTCCTTTCCTCTCCTGTCAGGTTTCTTACTACTATTGTGATAAATGAAAGCTCAATTTATCAGCCAGCCTCCGCTCGATTTCTCCTTCTTCCCTTTGATTTCCATTGATCTGCTCCTATATCTAACCTCTGCACGCTTCACTTTATTTCCTCATCTGTTTTAACCTCATAAATCCATGCCTCCGGTTCCTCATGCCCGCTGCGTGTATCGCGGCTGTCTTTGTGTCTGCTGGGGAAGAAGCTGCCTGTCAGGCTGCTGGAGGTGGCCCAGCTGCTGTCACTCAGTCTTCAGAGCCGGTTGCAGAGGGAGTAGCAGTTGACACATGATGTGGCTCCCTGCTGCTCAGAAATTCACTTTTCTTCTCTTCTACAGGCCTGAGCAGTCAGTTGCAGCTTCCAAAACGAATTTGTCTTCGCTATGAGTGCTGGAATGTAGATGCACTTACTCAGATGTTTTTGTGACCAGAAGCTCGTTAACATGTGCTCCGACATTTTGCTTTTTCTAAAACTGCATTTTAGATACAGCTGAAAGTAGATATTCTTCCCACCTGCAGTATTTATGAAGCCGAGCCACAGCAGCTGATGAAGGCCAATCTTAATTGCCATTTAAGTTGCACCTTAAGAAAAAGAGAAGAGCCGTTTTTCTGATGTGTATCATGAGTTATTCTTCTAGTTCTCATCTCTTGGAGCGACGGCTGCGCCCCACCAATTTATATTCACTTTCAACCTCTCGTCTCATCTCCGGCTTGAAAAGATTCCTTGTTCTATGCAGAAATCAAAGTGACAAATTTGATGAGATCCGGGGTCCTGTCCTGTTCTGTCATATTATTCTATTGTTTAACACAAAGAAGCACCTGCTGCATCATTATGGGACGTCGTTTCAGGGTGTCCCGCTCACCTCTACAGGACTTTCTTCCTTCATATGTTTTCATACTCCTCCTCATTTCTGTGTCTGTTCTTTAAAGTTAAACCAATGCTTGGTTAAGTTTCTGAAATCCAGCACAAGTTACATTAAACTAAAAAGAAGCATGTAAATAAAAAGTATTTTGTCTTTAATTTGATGGAGTCAATTTCTTCTATTGAATTTTCCAAATGCTTAAAAAGAAAAACATTAAAGGCTCAATTTCAGGAATTTTTTTTTGCATTTAAAATATTTTTTGTTTAAAAAAAGATGAACACAAAGTGAATGAATCATTTCTCTATGTCTCTGCAAATCTACAGTATAAGTGCAGTAAGTTAGCCTCTAGCTCCATGAATTAAACACAATAAATCACAGGATTTACTTTTTATCCAGCATACATTTGCCTCATAAACCACAGCTTTGTCCAATTTTGTATTTTGATAATCTAGGACTTAGTAAGATAAGATTTACTGGATTAAATTAACTTTATGCAGCTGTTGATTGTAAATAAATCAGCCTTCCTCTTGTGAAGGGTCATTAATTTTTCATATGCGTATGTGAGAAAGACGGATAACACGGCTGTATGGCGCAGCATGATTTATTTCTTTATTTCATTAACAGGATGTCTGGAATGAAAGAATATTATTGGATGGGAAGTATTTACGTTTTTTTTTTTTATAGAGATTAGCTTGTTCAATTTAGATATGTTCAGATTGTGTGTTTATAGATGCGGCTCACTTAGATTGGAAGCTTTCAACACTTCTGCATCCATAAGAGTCGGAGGCTTGAAACTCAAATAATTACCAAAATCTATTCATCCCCTCATCATAGCGCTCATATAAATAGTTAACTATTTACTATAAACATTTGCTGTGTTTTATAGTCTAGCTCAACAATGATTTATTGACAAAAGGTGCAATAAATGTTTTTTAAGCTGGTAAAAAACTAATGTATTATTGAATTCTGCATTTTCAATTCTTTTTGAGAGGATTTCAAACTGATGTTTTTTTGCATGCAGCCCTTCCTGAGGTATTATGCTCATCTCTCCATGAATAAATGATGAAGAGCATTGCATGATCAAACACACACAGTAGAGATGATCAGTTTAAAACCCTTTTCTTATACATCTTTGTCAATTATTTCATCATAAAGCTGTAAAGGAAAAAGTGGAAGAATCTGTCATGTTTATTGCTGCTGCTTGTTGATGTGTGCCGTAATAATGGTGCAGTGAATGATGCTAATGCGCTCTGTTCTCTGCAGGACTCCATGGTTTAACGGCTGGGGGTTCAACCTGCCTCGGGGCCAGTCTCTGCTGGATAAATGGAACCTCGTCCCCGAGGGCATCGACATCCTGATGACCCACGGACCTCCACTCGGTGAGTCCAATTAACCAATCACTGCCCCCCCTTGCCGCCGTATAGAAAAAGTTGGGCCTCATTATTCAGTCTGGATGAATAGACTTCAGTCCTTGCAGCAGCAGTGCCATATTTGTGGGCACGTTTTTTAACACGCTGCTTTTGCATCTGAAGACAGCAGTGTGTGAATATGCTCAGTCATTCAATATTTGTGTTTCACTGCATGCAAAAATAAAAGGCTATGTTGGATTTTTCTTTTGGTTTTCACAGCAGATTGATTAGGTTTTCCTCCTGGCTGTTTGGTTCCCAGTTATTTTGTTTTTTTCTTTTATTTATTTCTCCTTTCGATTCTCCATCTGGCTTTATTGAGTGATTTCCTTCCTTTCCGCCCACGGAGAGTTGCTGCTGCTGCTGCTGCGGCAGTGACTCTTGTAGTTTGATTGCATGGAAACTCGATTTCGTAGATACTGCAAACGACAAGAGAGGGGACCAAGCGAGAGCATGGTAGTGCTGGAGGGGAGAGTGAGCTGATGAGGTGGATTGAGGCTGCGCAAACAAGAAGAGATATCAAGATCAGGACTCATCTGGTTGAATTTAAAAATGTAGATTCAAAGGCAGGCATGTTGGCATGATTTCACAGGGAGGAGTATTAAAAGCTGGTTCTGAAATAGAAAGGCAGTAAATGTCTGAGAATAACCCTTCAGTGAATACTTTTACTATAAACGTCTGTTGTTGCTTCAGCTTTATAATATTTACAAGAAATGAGGATTCCAGTGGCAGCTTCCAGTCAGTCAGTTCAAGCTAAAATCTAATTGCATTTTTTTTTTTTTGTCGCTAAAAAGTGAAAGAATATGTGAACTAAAAGTGGCCCCTTATCTTGTGTTAGTATTGTAGCATAAACTGCATTTATAATGAAAAATGTTTTCACTTCATGCATTTAGAAATATCCCGGATTGCTGCAGTCTGGGAAAATATGATATTTTGTTAGTTTGTAAAATGTGCAAAGATAAAGAGTGTTTAAAATGTTTGTTTACAGTCTTTAGTTTGATGAAACTGTTTCAGTCCATTTTCCTGACATTCATGATTCCTCTCCTCTGTTTATAAGTCCTCTTATTTCTCCACCATTTATCCTGTTATTGCTCTAATATCATCATGTATCATAAGGTTTTTTATCTAAGTTTGAGCCAAAATCATTTTCTGTGCACTTTTTCTCAACAATCTTGCAAATGTCTTTTATTTAAATCAGTATTTTCATTGGTTGGAATGAGGTTAAGTTCAGGAAAACGGGATAATTAGCCTTAAGCAAAGCTTGCTTGGAAAGTCTGATGACAAAATTAGGAAGCTTTGTTTCACCTAATTCAAAAACATAATAGTATTCACTCCCCTGCACGCAGGGAGCCTCAGTTCCTAGCAGTAACTAAGAGCATGGACATTTCTTCTTCATAACATTGGGTTTTTTTTCTAAATGTCATGATGAAATGTCTGCAGCGTTTCTGTGGTGTTTGGGACAGACCAGATTTGAGGCATTGCTGTTTCCTGTCCTCATCTTGCAAAATCAATAAAGCTGACTGAGTAAAGATCATTGATTTTTCCAAAGACAAACGCGTCACACACCCCCTCCCCCCTCCATTTGTGGATGTAGTTGTATTTTATTGCTATTCTAAGCATTGACTTTTTTTTAGATCGGTTTTCATTAGAATTGCATCTCATGCATTTCTTTTTTTGTATTTAATGTTTCAGATCAGTTGATCATTTGCCTCCATCTCCTTCCTGTTTTGTTCTTGTGCTGGTCTGCACATTTGGGCGTCTGCAACATTTTAACTTTTAATGGTTGGGGGTCAGATCTGTTGTAAATCTGTGTTATATCTAGGCAATAAAGGATGTCATTAAAAAGGTTAAATATGAATATCTTTGCAGGTTTCAGAGACTGGGTGCCTAAGGAGCTGCAGCGGGTCGGCTGTGTGGAGCTGCTCAACACTGTCCAGAAGAGAGTTCGGCCCAAACTTCACGCTTTTGGAGGCATTCATGAAGGTAGTGGCGAGCGAAAAGCCGCCCCCTATATATTGCTGAACTTAAAGAGGGGGAGGAAAGATCTTTGCTGATTAATGTGCAAAAAGTGAGACTGATCCAGTGAGGAATGATGCTGTTTTTTATGGGATAGGGAAAAAACTGAGCACTGGCTGGTTTAGCTTCACAAACCAGCCATTTGGGAATCCTTCTGAGGCCACTCCCCCTGCCTTCAAAGGTTGCGCTCTCTGTCTGCTGGTTGGACTGCACCTGACTCGGGGCGAGCATAACTGCATAACACCTTTTCATAGTCAAACAGACAGCTCATCAGATATATGTGCAAATAAGGACTTAAATGTGTTTAGAAACTGTTTCTGCAGCCTTTTTACGCCTAATTTCAGCATAATTTTGACAGCTTTTGATATAACGCCCCATTGCACTAAAATGTGCAGGTGAGAGCCCGGCACCATAGGGCCGGGTTCACTGCAGGGTTTTTAACAGAAGTTGAGCTGATGCCGGAATTAAACCACCAACCTCAGAAACTTTGGGAGAATATTTCAGGTTTATAGAACAAGCAAGAAAAAGCATCCTTGAATGCATAATGAATCATTTTCATGGCTTCAGAGATCTTTAAGAAAACTAAGTTCCACCTCACTGGAAACTGTGGGGTTAAATTTTATTAGTATGGATAGGTGAGAAAAGCAAAACTGAATAAAGCAGGAAAACTTTACACATGTACCTTTTTGTAATCTGCCTTATCAACTAGGTGGGTGAGGAAAAATCTATTTGGGGATATATCCCAACTATCGGACGTCTGACATCATATCGATCTTCCAGCTCCTAATAAGGATAAAGACATTTTTTTTTCCCTAAAATAAAGGGGTAAAATGCACTTCTTCTACACCACCAGTCTAATAAAATCTTAATAACAGGATAATATCCTATATATATATCATATCCCAGCTAGGGCTGCAACAACGAATCGATAAAATCGATAAAAATCGACTTTTAAAAGCGTTGGCAACGAATTTAATCATCGATTAGTTGTGTCGCGCGATTAATGCGTCATCCGCCGCCGCCGTCATCCCGGGGAAGAAAAAAAAATATGGCGGAGCGAGTCAGCGCCGCAGTTGCAGTGTTGCCAGCTCAGCGACTTTTCAGACCCCTCCAGCGACTATTTTTTTAAAAAGCGACTAGCGACAAATCTGGCGACTTTTTACGATGTCACTGGCGGCTTTTGGAGACTCTTACGTGAAAGCATGTATCGTTCCTACTCTAGTCCTCCAGCGGCAGCTGCTGCCGTGGGGCGCCTCCCCCATCCCAACGCCTTTCTCCCTCTCCCACAAGAATCCCTCTCAGCGCTGCAGTCCGAGCCGCAGGATTTTAGTGAGGAGTTTACCCTCAGCGTCCAGACTGCAAATGAAGCGCGCATGCCCCGGGATTGACGGCGCAAATTGATCACAATAATTAAAATAGCCTGCGCTTTGTAAAGTGAAAAAAGTCGTAACATGCAACTTTTGTAAAAACAAATAAACATGGCACGGAAGCACCACTGTTATGACGCAGCACCTGAAAAGAAAACACGTTGGAGCCTTCGATGGCAGTGAAGAGAGCTGATCAGCAGGATGAGTAACCATGCTTGTTTCATTTTAAAGTGGGGAAACGTAACGTTAGTTTCTCAGGCAGCTCATCTGATGCTTTCCTTACCGTGTTAGTAGGTTACAGACAGTGATAAGGTTGGCTACTTATTTTACTTTTAATTTCATTTGAATTAGCTTAAGCAGCGTTTATATTTTCTTTATAAATAAATTAACTTGCAAATTATGAGGGCAAGGCTTTTAAAGTTTAAATCTTCTGGCAAAGATAAAGTAAAGAAGATCCTGCAATTTATGGAAGTAAAGCAGAATAAAATCCAGCAAGATCGGTAATATGTCAATTAATTATCTGCCACATTCCCATGTAAATATCTGTCTTTGGAGGATGTGTTTTTTAGCACCCCTAGTTCTCTCATTTTTATTCCAAATACAATTTATAATTTGAATCACAGGGCTATTTTTATCTCTATGGTTCAGTATTTTCTCAAGTAGCAACTTTAACTGCTATACTTTCCTGTCTTAAAAGGCAGAACTCTTCTAGTCTAAAAAAAAACTCATTTGTTGAAATGGGGGGGCCTATTGTTTGAACCCCTTAGGGGCTTTAAAAAACAAAAATGCCTGTCTCTTTTTGCGCTTTATGAAACAAAGTACCCTATATTTTGTGGATGTACAGCTACATTTCTCATGTAAGTTTGCGTAATTTTAAAACAAACATTTATTTTTCATATAGCACCAGTACAGTTAATGAGAAACCTGTACTTGTGTGCTTGTTTGTTCTGTCTAAAATGTTTATTTTGGAATAAAGAGGTTAATATAAAAAATATATTTTGTGTCCGATTCATCGATTAATCGAAAAAATAATCGGCCGATTCATCGATTTTCTAAATAATCGTTAGTTGCAGCCCTAATCCCAGCAGCCTTACCAATACTTAGCACTATTATCAACCAAATATTCTCCATCTGTCGGTGAGTCATTGTCTCCATAACCCAGCCAACAGTGTTTAACAGCAGAGTCAGTGTTTAGCTCCAATTATTTTATTTAAACAAACAGTTTGGTCAGGTCAGGTCTAAAAAAAAGTATGACTTTGGTGAGAGCAGTGTGTATGATACATGGATAGAAATATATTTCCTTCCAAGCTGAATGAGGTTGATCATGATAGTTTCTCTGATTCGAATTTATTGATGTACAAACCACTAAACAATGCTAGTAAAATGTGTTTGGGATTGGAAAATTGGGCAAACTTTCACCTTTATCTTGTTACAGGGTACGGGATCATGACGGATGGATACACGACGTTCATCAACGCGTCGACATGCACTGTCAGCTTCCAGCCAACCAACCCGCCCATTGTGTTCGACCTGCCCAACCCCTCCAGCTCCTGAGACCGGTCCGCCGTGGATTCCTGATTTCACGGGCCTGGAGAAACATCTTCTTTTCTATAAATATTTCAAGTTTAAAACAAAAACAAAAATGAAGATCCAAGTGTTTCTTTGCAATTGTTTTCCTTTCCTTCAAGCTGTTGTGGAGGAAATACGAGGGTCTGTTTTGTTTTTTTTGTGGGGGGTGGGAGGGGTACTTTAAAGGAGAATACCGGTGGAGTGTTTTTCTTTTTCAACTGTGCCAACAGTCCAGGCATGAGGCCTGGATTCACTCCGTCTTATTTGATTGCCGTTTTGTTTGAAAAGCAATGAGAAAGTGAGATTGTTGTTCTTCACTAAGCAGAGGTAAGACTTTTATCATTGATCTCTGTTTCTTTCAGCCACAGCAAGTAGGCAAACTAATCCTTTAAAAAAAAACGCTGCCTTTGCTCAGAACGATTGAAACAAACTGTGAGACTTTTTACGACGACTAACGTAACAACTTTTTATTCTGGCCTTCTTTCCATTTTCAGGTCATCTGTATAACAAGCAGAACGTTTTGATTCTGTCCCACGCCGGTATTCTCCTTTTCTTTGAGATTTTGTGGTTAAACAATCTTGCTCTTGATTAATATTGCTCAAAACTGTAAAATAAATAATGGTTTGTGAATTTGTACAATTTCTTTACGTTTGGTTTGGCCAAACTATGGATGCCATTGTTTTTACGTTGTGTCATATGATAAATATTTAGTTTCTTTTTGCTTTTCTCGTCAGTTCTTCTTCTCTTATTGGCTGACAGGGACGCTGCCTTAAACTAGCTTTAATGTTCTCAGCTAGAGCCCCGATTCTCTGCAAGCTCAGAGGAAAGTCCTTATTTATTACCCATCATCCCCGCAGTAAAACCACCCGACGATCGCAGGGACAGAAAGCTATCGATTGCAGCCAGGATGATCACTTTTTATCAAGGATTTCTCATCTAATCTGGAAAATGTATAATAACATATATATAAATTATATATTCATCTTTTAAAACATCTGTACTAAAGTTGTGTTTTGATGAAGAAAAAAAGAAAATGTTTTGTTTTTCTGTATCTTCAATGCTTGCATCATCAGAAGTTTCTTTTCACGTTTTTTGTAGAAAATGATTTCAAATGAGAGGAAAATGTGTCGATCACAATCCAACAGGTGTTGATTGTTTTCCCTGCAACACACCTGCCTAAACAGGAATGACATGTCCTTTAAAGTGTAAAATCTGATAGTATTTGTGTTTTATTGCTTTTTTTTTTCTAATTTTGCACTGTGTGTAAATGCAATCTTGCTAGCACAAAAAAAAAAATGTTGCCAATAGTCGTCTCGAGTCGTTTCTCGACAGCTGTAAATGCTCTTCTTTCGTGCTCTCTTCCTCCCTCACGCTCTTTCTCTGATTGTATCCCTCTTCATGGAAATGTTAGTTCTCTTTCAGTTTATTGTGATATATTTAGCTGCCTTTATATGCAAATAAAATTGCAAGATTTTTACTGATTGAGGCTTCTTTTATTCGAATATCTGAAGATAGAAGAATAAGAATTCAACTCTGTTTTCATTACACCGTCTCAAGTACAAAGCAATGAATTGAACTCTCTGCACTTAACCCATCCCCTTGGGCAGCAGTGGGCTGCCATTGTGCAGCACCTGTGGAGCAGTGTGGAGGTTAAGGATGAACTCAGAACCTCTGGGATCCAAGCGCAATGCCCTAACCACTAGGCCACCACTCCCCTAGTCTACAAAGATAAGTTTGTAGACAAGATAAATATTTTTATTAACACAACTCGTCTTTCAGGAAGAGGGACTCTTTAGGAATATTTCATTTTGAAATGTTCTAACTGAAATTTTGTAACATGTTGCACTCATAAAGCCAAAACATGGAATAATAAAAAGTGAAATATCTTGTCAAATACTAGATTTTATCATTAAAAGATTTTTTGAGACCGTATATACTAAATGTGAAGAGAAAAGGAAGACTTAGCTCTCCCTTCACCCTTTAAGTAACGCATTCTCAGAGTTTGAGGTGGATATCAGGTTAACCCGTTGTGAAAGGTTTTAATTTCCCCTTTGGCCTCTTCCACTTAGCCCAAGCCCTCTGTTTTGTGCTGCTTGCAGGAAAGGGTTTCATGTTTCTTTTCACAAAAGTGGTTCCTTTTTCTTCTGTAGATGGAGGATAGAGTGAGACATTTCTAGCTGTTGCATTTTCTTTTTCTATTTTTTTATGTATGGCATATAAGACTGAATTCCATTGTGAAAATGATGTTCTCTATAAAACACATCCAGAATCACTGCTTTCTTTACGTATCTTCAGTTCACTGAGGTTTGAGTGTTTTTGTTTCTGCAGTCATTCTGAAATCTCACCACTGCCTTTCAGTTAAATGGAGGAATAGACTGGTTTATTGCAAGGCCTCTACTTTTATTATTTATTTTTTTTTTTTTAACCATCCTGTCTAAAATGTGCTGCTGTTACTGATTATTTGCAAGTTACATGACCTGTTATCAGTTAATAATTGGTAGGTTTTATTTCACTTTCCTGCAGTGAACTTCTAAAAAATTTCTAAAATCATAGTATTTAACCATAAACAAATGTACAACTGTTCCAAAATTATTCTTATCTCTCTTTTTATATGCTTAATAGGACATCTTAGTATCTGTGTGGTTAAGGGCCTTTATTAGGGCTTGCAGTTTGTTATTTTATTCATTATAACAGGTCTTACCTTTAATCTCAATGTTGAATGAAATAGCCTCGTTGTCACATTTAAGCTCCTACCATGGATGAAACTCTTTACACAAGGTGAGAAGTTAGGCTTTTGCTCTTTTGTTTTCAAATCTTTATGAAATCAGTATTTTTTTACAGTAGTAACATTGTCTTTGACAGATTTCGGCACGAACAAGTTCTTGTCAGGAACTTGAAACTTTTTATTCAGTAGTCAGTATCTTCTAAATCTCAGGAGTTTTTTGTTTTCAGTATGTAATTAATATGTTTGTGGGGCAGTATTAGCACACGTACTTCCAACCTACCTAAAGCAGCTCTATACTGCTTGGTTTTCAGCTTTGTGTCCTTATGAAGGCTTGTTTTTGTTCTTTGTAAATAATATAGACCCATTTTGCAGATGTTTGGCGTTTATTAAGTACCGTATGTCTACATCTTTACAAGCAGTAAAGTCATTTGAACACAGATATTACTTTTAATGTGAGGCAAAAACAATAATCTAATCAAGAGCTTATTTTTGTTGTTGTAAAGATTAACAGTAAAAACCAATCCGTATGTGTTTGGATAGTTTTAACTGTACTGTGTGTCCAGACAGGCCGATATCCGTTTGGCAGAACCTTTGACGGATCACAGCCACACTTGAATGAGACCTGACTTCATCTTTCACATCCAGTCATAGAAAAGAACAAAATGTTTGACTATTTCCAAACTTATCTCCATATTCGCAGCGTTTCAGCTTCAGATCTGCAGTTTCTCAGATTTCCTTCTTTTTTTTTTTAACCTGTCGCCAGCCCAGATCCTCAAAGACCCAAACTGAAATCGGCTTGAATTACAAGGCACCTATGCCAGCCGTTCCCACCAGCCCCCCTATCCTACATCACCACCACATCAAAGAAAACCAACCAATTAAATATTCCCACAAAACCAGAGCAGCATGGCATCGCCCCACACCCACCAGATCCCCCTGCACATTACCATAATCCAGTCTAATCATATTAACAGAGGACGCCGATGAACAGGGGAGACATGGCAGCTCTGGCTCTGCTGGTTTTGCTCTCTATGTTGTTTATCTGCACGGTTTAACTCTGACCCTCATAGACTACTGGAATAAGCCTTTAAATGTAACCCAGTTCTCTCTAACATGAGCATGTGTTATATCCTAAACAATTTTAGACTGAACAAATATTTGAACACTAGTTTTTAGGGGAGATTGCTCGGTGCAAGAAGAAAAAAATCCACAGAAGGATTAAAGAACTTCTTCCATGATGGAAAGCAATGTAAAAGATATTGTAAATCAGCTTCAAAGTTCAGGAATTCTTCATTTCATCTGGATTAGTTTTTGTATACATTATTTTGATTGCATTTTATGATTTTATTTTCAATGGCTGTGTTTACATCGTTGTTTTAAGGCCATAAATGGGTAGACCCTGGCTTAATATTAAACGTTTTTGCATCACCATACAGTAGTTCTGAGGGTTTTTTTATATTTTCTTTGAGAAAAAAAAAGGTCTGAAATTGGGTTTGCTTGCAGTCAGTTCAGGGAATTCCTTTGAGATTTATTTAAGAAAGTTTTACAGAAATCATGAAGGAAGCTTATTCTGCCACTGTTCCGTTTTTTTTTTTTCTGCTCGCAAAAATAAGCAATAGAAAACTCATAACTGACAGAAAACCTGCCCTGGGCCATATCATCTCCTTTAACAACCCTCATATTCAAAAACTCTTGTTATCTGGAAGGATATTGCGTATAGAGGACACTGTTAAAATATATGTGAAGCTGACATCTGACTCAGAAACAGCTGAAAAACCAAAGGGTGTCGAGAAGAAATTTTCCTAAGGAAGCAACCAAACAGCTTAAAAACATATTGGAAACATAAAGCCATAAAGGCTCCATCTAGTGGTGCAAACCCAGGAAAGTGGTCAGTCTAGAGAAAAAACTGGACCCCAAATGATGCATTAGGCTTCAATGAGCTAAAAACAGAAGAAGTAAGACCTGATGAGAGGATGAGCTGGAGAAGTTCTGGAATTTTCCAAAATAGACGCCGAGCATTTCACCTCCCTCTTTATTCAGACAACTACAGCATCTTCCTTTTTATTTCCTTCATTCAGATTTAAAGGACTTTTTCTTTTTAACAGTGTTGGTCAAACTTTTACTAACAGGTTGAGCTTGACGCTTTGTGCACCTATGGGTGATCTGCAGGCACCCTTACTGCAACAAAACAAACATGACAACATCTTACTCTGGTTATCGGTGTCTCTCAATTATAGTGTAAGTTAGTGAGAGGATGGATGTGGATGAATATCAGCCAAAGATAAGGCAGTTAAAAACCTTTAGAAAAAACCATCAAGGCCGCGTTTAAAGGCTAAAACCCTGAATTCTGAGCGGAAAACTAAGGAGAAATGGGTTTAGACATTTACTTTACATTTTATGTTCTCTAAAAACGCCTAAATGTTGAACAAAAGCGAGTTCTTTTTTTAACTACCAGAGTGAATCTATACAGAAGATAATTCAGGAAAAAAAAAAAAAGCAAACCTTCCTGGATAATTAAATTATACCACAGGGTTCTGTAAACCGTAATGATGCCCATTAGCTTTAGCCGTCGTTACCATGGTGAAGAAGCCAGTGTGAGGTGTGAATGAAGGGGCATTAATCACATAGCACCATCCTGAGCCTGTTTTTATGTGTTAGCATGTGTCTGGGACTTTATACCAAGGAATATGATCATTTCTGACAGTTATTCTAATCAGGAGAGTTTAATATAACAGTAGCTTGTTAAGACTTCATGCTTTACCAGCAGAGTGTTTCTGTCTCTTCTCTCCGTTAGAGACGTCCTCTCAGCCACTCAGCAAATCGTGTCTCGCTGTCAGGACGTTTATAGCACTGCCAAATTGCTGGCTGCATTAATTATCCTTGTCCAGGCAGCTGCCGGTGATGTTTTCCTGTTTGTCAGGTTAGCCTTCGCCTCCTGCTGATGGATGCGGGGCAGGACTCGGTGAAGGCTGACTGAGCCCCATCGACCTCAGAGAGCGTGCAGCTTATTCTGGTGCCAGAGCTCTGCGTGCTCTGTTTATAGGGATTTAATTGCTCACCAGTGGTATTATTGTAATCTGGAGCTCATTTGGCACAAGTAGAGGTGCCATAAATTTATTCTCTGTGTCAGAGTCATAATTTCCATGTGCTCATCTCAACCTGTGGCCTTCAATTGCTTTATTTTTAGACTAAATATTTAATTAAACAGGCTTATATTGTTTTGGTTTCACAGTTGTGACCAAAAGTTTATAAACTCTCATCAAATGATAAATTGTCCTATTTATTTGGGTTCTAAATGATTTAGCTGCACTATTGAATCAATTCAAACAATACAACTTTTGTAATTATTTAAAACAGTTGTAAGGAGATACATGTGCATTTAGTGTAGAATTGATTAAAATTAGACTTAAAAGCTTAAATATATGTCTTGAACTGGAAAACCCTGTGTTACCGCCTATTGAGTCAATTTGGCCGCACTTCAAACCGAGAGGATGCTGAGGAAGAGCTAAGCCATAACCTAATGTTTTAGTTGATATTATGCAATTTGCAGATTTTATCTGTGACCATTGCCTCTAGAATCCCCTTTCCTCCATGATGTCTTTTGTGCATATCATTGTAATATTTTAGATCTTTTCTTGGTGCTTCAACAAATTACCCTCGTCTTAAAGATTAATTGAGTTGAGCCCCTGCTCCAAAATAAACACCTTCAAGCTTGACAGAACACCACAGCTTCCCATGTGGACGAGCCAGACACCTTTCTGAGAAAGGTTTCATGGTCAGAAAAAACAAACTGAGCCACATTGAGAGGACACAATGTAAAGCTTCTAAATCAAAGCTTCAAATCTAAAACTTTACCAAGTTTTAATCAGCTCTGTCAATCCTGCCAAGAAGAAAGGCCAGATATTTAGTCAGCACCCTATTAAAATCTTTCCTTTTTATGTGGCAAACAAAAACTGCGATGGAAATACAGCTAGCTATGAGATTTCACCTGAACTGAAGTGAGGGTGTGTTTGTTTATATTAGTTTTGCTGTGAGACAATACTTAAATGCAAACTTCTATTCTAACACACAATAGCAGCTTTTACAACACCTATCTTGTTTCCATGGCTTTCTTGTTAAGTTTATAGCAATGAAATGTTTTTAAAGAAGATGTAGAGCAAAAAGTCTTTGTATAGCTTTTATTAAGCAGTTTTTAGATTTGACTGATGAACTTTGGATTAGAAATCCGACTTAAGCCTGTGTAAAAGATAGGAGGTCAAATAAACTCTCCTAAATATATGGAGTCCCCATGTTGTAGTTGTTTTAGACTTTCATGTACGGAGACCCTGGTTCCAATCCTGGTTGCGGCAAAAGAAATCTGGCCTGAAATCTTTTCAAGTCGATCTTTTCAAGTTTAGAACAAAAGGACCCAATATTTGAGGCAGAGAGACAGTTGGATTTCTCAAAACCTTTCAGAAACTGAACTGCAGAGAACAGCGTTGGCGTCTAAGGCAGGAACCTCTGCAGGGCGAGAACACAGGTAAGTGACTATGTCTGTCTGGCAGAGGGTGATAATGAACGTTTGAGTCACTAACCTG